CCTTCCCGCAAAGAAACCAAAACAATAAACTTTTTTTCTTTTTTTAGTGTTTTACTATCATGTAGATTCCAAGTTGAGTATAATTGTCAAAATTTAAATTTCTTAAGCACTACTGGGTTTAATGTATGAATGTTATACAGATATAAAAAGTTATGTCTGTTCCTCATAGTAGGTTAGCAAGATCAAACAAACCTACCATCTAATAGCCTGTTTTTAACTTATTTCTCAGGTTGTTTTAACAATAAAACCAAATGATGATGTTTTGAATGAAGTTCTTCTACACCAAAAGGTGTTTTTTGAGCCCTGAGTTATATAATAAATATTAGAAGGTATTGATGTTTGAAGTAGACTACAGTTTTATTAAATAATGGCTACTTAAAAGACTATCTTCCTGGTCAACGTAAATCATACCCTGTCCCCATACATGCCTCCAGTACTGGAGATTGAACTCAGGGTTCTTTACCACTGAGCCATGTTTCTACCCCCTTTTAAAATTTTGAGACTGGGTCTCATAAGTATGGGAGTTTGAAAGAAAAGAATCTGACATGATATACAATTTTGCCTAGGCGAATGGTAATGGTACTAATAATAGTAATTAGAACATGGAGAAACAGTGATTATAAGGTTTTTAGGGTATTGGATCCGAGAAATGTCATATATTTCTCATTTGGAGAAACAAAAGATTTCATGAGGTAAATTTAATTGATATGGGCAGGAGATATAAGGTGGTTAAAGTGAGGATGGCAGTAATTGGATTGCTTATATACTTAGTTGACTTGCATTATGGAACCTCTCAATCACCTTGGTTGAGATCACCAGGCAGGATGATTGCTTCTTTGGCTTCTAATCTTTGTTAAAGCCTTTAAAGAATAATGGTTCATATCTAGAAGGTTGTGAGCTAATATAATTATTTCAGAAAACTTAATGGAATTATGTTTAACCTAGTTTAAGGACCTACAAATTGAAGTTCCTGTCAGATCAACCCAATATATATATACTATATTTTCCTTATTAATCAAATTGCTAGCATACTTTTTCACTTTCTGAGAAAGTAAAAATGAATATAAGAAATTGATCTACAGAGTATTTTTATTATATAGCTTTTATTTATTTATTTGGTGCTACAGATTGAACCCAGGTCCTCACACATGCTAAGCATACACTTTACCATCAAGCTACATTCCCAGCCCATATATATAGCTTTGTTTTTGTTTTATTTTTTTTCTAGTTGTATATGGACTCAATGCTTTTGTTGTTTTTTAGTTTTTGCATTTTTTAATATTTATTTTTTAGTTGTAGTTGGACACAATACCTTTATTTCACTTATTTATTTTTATGTGGTGATGAGGATTGAACCCAGAGTGTCGCATGTGCGAGGCAAGGCCTCTACCTCTGAGTCACAACCCTGACCCCATTTATTTGTTTTTATGTGGTGCTAAGATTGAACCCAGTGTCTCACACTTGTGAAGCAAGTGCTCTACCACTGAGCCACAACTCCAGCCCACATAGATTTATTTCTTCATTTATTAGAGGTTGACATCGTCAGCTTTTTAAAAAGCAGTAGGTTTTCTTTTTTTTTTTTTTTTGATTGGGAGAAGGGTACTGGGGATTGAACCCAGGAGGGCTTTACCACTGGGCTACATCCCCAGCCTTTTTTATTTTTTGAGACAAGCTTCCTCTAAGTTACTTGGGGCCTTAATAAGTTGCTGAAGTTGGCCTCAAACTTGTGATCTTCTTGTCTCAGCCTCTCAAGTCACTGGGATTATAGGTGGTATATCCACCACTCCTAGCCACAGTCTGAATTTAGTGAAAAATATATATAAAAAAATTAACAGTACTGTTGCTTGTGTCAGAAAGTCAGACTTTGGAGGCTGGGTATGTAGTTCAGTGGTAGTGTACTTTCCTGGCATGCATAAGGCCCTAGGTTCAGTCATCAGCACCACCATCAAAAAAAAAAGTTCACGCCTCTTTGTTGACTTTATTGCTTCTGAGGTTTTTTTGTTTGTTTCTATTTTGCTTTGATGGTTAGTTTCTTGAGGCAGAATTTAAAATATTTCTGGACCTGGCTGGGGATGTGTCTCCAGCGGTAGTGCGCATGCATGCGGCCCGGGTTCGATCCTCAGCACCACATACAAACAAAGATGTTGTGTCCGCCGAAAACTAAAAAATAAATATTAAAAAAATTCTCCCCCCCCCAAATAAATAAAAATATTTCTGGGCCTATCTCTTCATCAGTTTACTGAACTCCTAGATTAGTCCTGGGTGTTCAATAAATGTTTATTGGATGAAATAATAAAATATTTCATACAAGTAGTAAACTTTAAGTAAATGTTAAGACAAGAAATTTAGAAGAATAAACATGTTACAACAATACTAGAGTGAGTTACGTTAATTTTAAGGTTTAGGAGATTTTTAGTAATCCTGAAAGTATAAATAATATTATACCTATTCATTAAGGAGTATATCTTTGTTTTGGTAGCTAATTGATATTCATCTTTCTCAAATGTCCAGATTCGTACCCTGTAATCTTGTTTTTTGATGGGAGGGCACTAGGGATGGAACTCAAGGACACTCTACCACTGAACTATATCCCCAGCCTTTTTTATTTTTTATTTTGAGACAGTGTCTCACTGAGTTGCCCAGGCTAGCCTCAAACTGGTGATCCTCCTGCCTTAGCTTCTTAAATTGGTTGGGATTACAGGAGCCATTATGCCTAGCTACTCCATAATCTTATTCAAGTGTTGAACCTTATTATTTAAAATTAAATTAGTATAGGAAAGATGGTAGGATGAATTGGGCATAACTTTCCTATGTTCATATATGAACACATGACCAGTGTAACTCCACATCATGTTCAACCCCAAGAATTGCATCCTAATTAGAATAAGTTATATTTCATGTATGTATAATATGTCAGAATTCTACTGTCACGTATTCTGAAAATAACAATAAAAAAGAAAGAACAGTGCTTTTAAATAAAAAATAATATTAGATGCTCAATGTTGAAGTAGGTTGCAACTGCAAGAAAAACGTTAAATCACCAGAGACATGGAAAACCTTAGGCATCTTTTATTGGTCTTTCTGCTATTGTCTAGCAGTTAGGTTGACATATAACCTTCTTTTGTCATGGTTTTAAGATTTTCTAAAGAATGAACTGCATGTAAGGAATGAACTGCAAGTAGATATGTCTGTTAGAGCTTGGTGTTGTTGTGTAGAGGAAAAAAAAGAATGCTTCTTGTAGAGTGGACTTAAAATCTTAGGTGGAGTGTTGAACTCAAAAGCTGAGTATGTTAGTGCTAGAGGATTGTGCAGTTGAAAACCTTTGGGTCTTACTCTAAACCCAGCTCTCTTCATCTTGTGTTTAGTAACCTAAGATAGTTCCATTTGGAACAATTCAACAAATAGTTAAACAGATTGCCTTCAGCGTGCCAGTTTCTGTCCCAAGCGTTGTAACTATACTTAGTGTTCAAAATATGTGAAGTTCAGGCTGGGCTGTAGCTCAATGGTAAAGCACCTGCCTCACATCCTCAGCACCAACATGCAAATAAATAAAGATACTGTGTTTATCTACAACTAAAAAAAAAAAAAAATTTAAAAATATATGAAGTTCTTATTCTCGTGGAACTTAAGTTGTAATTGGGAAAATAAGTAACAAAAGGTCCTTGTTTCAGATATTTCTTGCTGCATAATAAATTTACTGGTTTTAAACAACTTTTTCATTGTTTCTTATAATTCTGTGGGTTGAAAAGCATTCAACTATTGGTCTTCCTGATCTTGCTTGGAGTTTGACTTTGGTGGCTGTACTTGGGAACCCCAAAACAGCTTACTTATAACTGTCACTTGGTCTTGACTGTTGTTGTACTCTGTTGCATTTCAGTTCTTTTCCACGTGGCCTCTCCCTGTGGCTTGGCTTTTTAAAAGCATTGTAGGTATGTTCCAAGAGGGAGTATTTCAAGTGGACAAAGGCAGAAGCTGCAGATTTTGGAAAGCCCAACCTTAGAAGTTATATAGTATCACCTTTACTACATTTTATTAGTCATACTAGTTCACAGTGAGGAGGGAAATACTCTACTTTTTGGATGGGTGGTGACAAAATCACATTGCAAAAGAACACATTGTAAGAGATATTGTTTTGAGCATCTGTGGAAACATGGTCAACTAAGTGTTCACCGTTTCCACAGATGGTCAAAATGTGGTCAGTTAAGCAGGTTAATAGAGAAATAGGGGAGGAGGGACAGCATATGCAATATCATATAGGAGTTCAAGGAAGGCCTCCCCAATGAGGCAGCATTTTAATATCTGATGGAAATGATAGAGTAGACCCATAAGAAACATAGGTCATTTTAAGGAAGAATATTCCCAGTAAAGAGAAAAAGAAATGTAGAAGCCTTAAGTGGGGAGAATCCCTTGTATGATCAAGGAATAGCAAGGAGGGCATTGTGACTGAAATGGAATGATAAAGGAAGAGTGGTAGGGCATTTAAGCTTGAGAAGAAGTGAGTAACAGATTGGTAGCCACAGCAAAGACTTATAATTTATAATTTTCTGTAAACCATTGGAAAATTCTGAGTAGAAGAATGACATGACCTTATTTAAGTTTTAAAAAATCCTGTTCCGAGAATCTTTGTTTATGTATATGAAAATAGACTCTAAGAGGTCAGAGTGGAAGTAGGGAGTCAAGTCAGTAGGACCATCATGTGGCAAATGATAAATGTCCTAGGTAGTAAGAACTGGTAGAAATTAGGGTATATTTCAAGGTAGGGTTGACAGGATTTTCTGATAAGGGTAGATATGGGATGAGAAAGAGCAATCCAGGGTGACTCACAAAGTTGTGGCCATTGGCATCTGGAAAATTGGAATTTCTGTCTGTTGAGACAGGAAGACTGGGAGAAAAGCAAGGCGGAGGTGAGGAAGATATGACTTGTAATTTTGACTATGTTAAGATCAATTCAAGAAGGTATCTGGGGGAAAGGTTACTAAATGTTAACTTCTTTGTTGCAGGTTTGATGTTGAGTGCTTCAGATCTGGTCACTATGGTACGAGAACGAAAATGCATATTGTGCCACATTGCATACAGCTCAAAAAAGGTAATCAGAGGGAGAATTGAGGCTATATGGATAATCATTTTTTCAGAGATGTCTTATTAATAGATGGATAAAAGCTTTTAATAATGTCTTATTTAGTTTCTTTCTTAAGCCATAGTCTTAGGCCACTGGTTTCTTTCTCAGTACTACCTCATTAAGTCAGTACCTGTATTATTAAACTTCTACCAGAATTTGAATGTACTCACAGGTGAATAATATAGAGAAATTTAGTTAGGAACCACTTACAGAGAAATTCAGGTTATTTGAGGTTGTTATTTTCTGAGATCTTAAAATTGTATACTTTTAAATGCACAAATGCTTAGCAAATATGGCATTTTTCATATGTACCTGGTTTCTGTATATGCCCAGTCTTATGAAAAGTGCAATATAGCAGAAATGGTACTAACAATATCCTAGACATCCACAAGATGGGGATGTTGCACAAAGAAATATAGACCTTATCTGCCCCCTCATTCCCCACCTCAGTACTAGGGATTATACCCAGGGTCACTTTACCACTACATTCCTAGCCCTTTTTATTTTTAATTTTGGTAAGGATTTTGCAAAGTTGCTGAGGCTTGAACTTGTGGTCCTCCTGCCTCCTTGTTCTAGAAAATCTTCCGAGTTGCTGGGATTACAGGTATGTTCTTGATTGTTATTGGAAATTCAGAAAACTGTGAAGATCATGGGCTAGGTTAGCCAAGAAAGTCTGATTGCAGGTAATGCACCTTGAAAGAAATCTAAGAGTAAAGCAATTTAAGTGAAATGGAAAAAGAGATAGGTTAAGTGAAAAACAACATGAACAAAGGACACCCAGGTAGAATGGAGTTGGCAGTTCTAGGTGTCAGTAAGAAAGCTTATTTGATTGAAACAGTTTTGTTTTGGGATTAGTGGGATTGTAATTTAAGTGAAGATAATTGGAAAACAGTATCAAATGTGCTATAATGAAGGTTTTTTACCCCTGTTGAAGATTTCAGTTACTGATGGAAAAAACTAATTGATTTAAAATTATATTTAATAATATATCTGCTACCTTTTAAAAAGTAAAATAATTGGGGCTGGGGCTTAGCTCAGTTGTAGAGCGCCAGCCTTGCATGTGTGAGGCCCTGGGTTCTATCCTTAGCACCACATAAAAACAAACGAAATAGGGGTATTTTGTCCAACTACAACCAAAAAACAACAAATATTTTTTTAAAAAGTAATTGTTTTTTTAGATTTAAAACTTGATCTGGACTTATGAAACTTCCAAGTTCCTTATGTCTACTTTCAGATTGGTGGAAGATGGGACTAGAGAGGCCAGTGTTCCAAGGTGTGGTATTAGATTTTCTTGGAGTAGCAGCCCTATCTTGTCACTTCACACTTGCCATGATCATAGTGAAGTAAAAATCAAGGACTATAGTTACTCCTCTTGTCTTAGGAAAAGCCAGTTTTATGTTGTTAGACAAGGGAATGGTATGGTTTTAGTGAGTAATATAGTGTAAAATAACTATGGATTAGTTGGAAGGGATGACTCTAATTATTATTTTTAGATAGATTAAGAACAGTTTGTGTTGAAACAGTGCTTTCCTCCAGATTCCCAAACAAATGTAATCCTGGTTTCTCCACATATACTTTAGAGGAGAAAGGGTGACTTGAGCAAGGAAAAGCTGTATAATATAATCCCTGAGCATCCTCATGCCCATTAACTTATATAAAAAACCAAGAAGCTATTAAGTTAAAAATATGTATCTATTCATTTATTTTTTGTTATTATTTATTTAATTTTTTTTGGCACTATAGATGGAATCCAGGGGCATTTTACCACTGAGCTGCATTCCAGCCAGCACCCCTTCCCCCCACCTCTCCCCTTCTTCTTCTTCTTCTTTTTTTTTTTTTTAATTTTGAGATAGGGTTGCTGAGTTGCTTAGGGCCTGGCTAAGTTGCTGAGACTGGCCTGGAACTTGGGCTCCTCCTGCATCAGTCTTTCAAGTCACTGGGATTACAGGTGTGCACCACCACACCCAGCTGTATTTAGTTTTTTATTTCAGTATTTCTTGAATTTATTCAACCATGATACCCAGTCCTTTACAAAGAACACTGATTAATGTGCAAGGAACTAAACAGAAGCCTGGTATACAAAAATGTATATATTTGGAGCTCTTACCTTAAGTCTAGCCTGTGGGTCTTGTCCAGGTATTTTGAATACTCAGTTGTTTCACTATTTGTATTCATTTTTTGGAACAGAATGGGTGAGGATTTTGCATATAAATTTGGGAAAAATTAGTGAAGTGTTCTAGAAAATCAAAAGTCACATTGCAACTAGTTTTTAATTATAACACTTTTGTAATAAATACAGAATCAGTTTTTATATCAGAGATAATAACTCATTTCAATTAATATTGTCTTGGTCAGGAATGGCTTGGTTGCTAGAAAAACCACTTAAATTTAACTGAAGGAATTTATAATACAGATAAGAATCTAAAGAAAAACAGCAAGCATAGGGACTTGAAGATTTTGTGAATTCTTGGAGTTTTTCATTCCAACACAATGTTTGGAACATTGAAATGTTGTCTTGGTGTCAGATCAGCCTGGGAGTTCCAGTTTAACTACTTGGTTATCTATAACTCTGAGAGGCCATCTTTTCATATTTATCCCTTCAATCCCTCACTCTCCACTTGGTACATAATAAGCACTTGATAAAAATCTGGTAAATGAAGAAGTTAACTTCTCTGCATCCTGTGTCCTTGGAAAGTTTGTAACTCTGCAATATTTTGCTGTTCAAATGAGAAAATGTTTAGAGCACTTATCACAGAATATAGTAAACAGTAATATTCAGAAATTTTAGTAGCCTTTTATTATTTGTATATATAAATAGCTATTCTCTAATTATGACATGCTGGCTATATAAACTTTCAAGTGACAAAAGGATAGACATTTACAGCTCTTTGTGTTTTGTGTGTGGTGTGCATGTTTTTAAATGACAACTTTTTCACAGATTTTATTTTCTTCCCTCTAAGAATGAGATAAGGGAAGTGGGAGGGGACATAGTAAATGTTCAAACTTTTCATTAGACCCAACCAAATCAGTTGGGGAAGTGGAGGAGTGTGCAGTGAAGTAAAGCAGTAACTGAATTATTGTATTCAAAGTATTTTTTTAAAAACTTCCCGATCTGCTATAGAGAAGAGACTGTTATATTTGTAATTCCCATCTATAATTGATGTAGCCATTTATATTCATTCAACAAATGTTTATCATATTCCAGGTCTGACAAACTATGTGTAAACCTGTTACTTTCTTTTTTTAATACTTATTTTCTAGTTGTAGTTGGACACAACACCTTTATTTTCTTTTTATGTGGTACTGAGAATTGAACCCAGGCCTTCGCATGTGCTAGGCAAGCACTTTGCTGCTGAGCCACAGCCCCAGTCCCATAAACCTGTGAACCTTTTACGTACTTTTTTTTTTTTTTTTTTGAAAGGTACCTAGGATTGAACCTGGTCTCACTTAACCATGGAGCCATATCCCCAACCCTTTTTATTATTATTTTTTCCTATTTTGAGACAGGGTCTTGCTAAGCTACTTAGGGAAAGTAAGTAGCTTAAGCTACTGAGGCTGACTCTGAACTTGGGAGCCTGGCTGTAGCTTACTCTTTCGGGAATACTAGGGATTTAACCCAGGGGTACTTTATCACTGAGTTACATCCCCTAGCCCTTGTGATTTTGTATTTTGAGACAGAGTTTTGCTAAGTTGTTTAGTTGCCTCACTGAGTTGCTGAGGCTGGCCTTGAACTTGTGATGTTCCTGCTTCAGCCTCCAGAGTCACTGGGATTACAGGCATGCACCACCATATCAGGCTGTAGCTTACTCTTGAAATATTCAGTAGAGAAAGAGAGTGTGGACAAAAGTAGTTGGAATACTAAATGATTTAAGAATTAAAACAAAAATTAAAACTTTAGTAAATTCTTTGTAGCGGGATAGAATTAACCTACATATTTTATTCTTAAAAGTCTTTTGCCTCCTGGGCTGGGGTTGTGGCTCAGTAGCAGAGCGCTCTACTCGCACATGCGAGACCGTGGGTTCGATCCTCAGCACCACATAAAAAATAAATAAATGAAATAAAGGTATTGTGTCCAACTACAACTAAAAAATAAATATTAAAAAAAGTCTTGTTTTGAACGACCAACAATAAAAAAAAAATAAAAAATAATTAAAAAAAAGTCTTTTTGCCTCCTGAAGGCAATACTTTCTAATCATTTTAAAAAGCCATCTAAATATGTTTTTCTAATAATTTCTTTTACTTAAAATATATTGCTGGACACAGTGACATACACTTACAATCCCAACAAATTGGCAAGCTGAAGTAGGAGGATTCAAGTTTGAGGCCAGCCTTAGCAACTTAATGAGACTTTGTCTCTAAATGCCAAAGTAAAAGGTGCTGAGGGTGTAGCTCAATGGCAGAATGCCTTTGGGTTCAGTAATCCCCAGTGCCAAAAAAAGGAAAATATTTCAAAAAGCACAGCTGAAGAACTGTGATCTGAGAATAGTCACACACAAAAGAAACATTGACATAGGAAGCTGAATCCCCAATTGTTGATTACATAGGACATAGAATTTTGTCTTTTTTCCTCCCTCCCTCAAAACAATCCCCCTTAGTTTAATCTGCTTTTTTTGATTTTGAAGGAGATGGACGAACACATGCGGAGCATGTTGCATCACAGGGAACTTGAAAACCTGAAGGGCAGGTATGGGAATGGCTCTCTTCCATAAATTTTGCATATGGGGGAGGGGGGCTGAGTACCAATGGTGCCTGTCCATTTATTTATTTGTTTGTTTGTTTGTTTGTTTATGTTTATTTATTTTTCAGTTGTGTATGGAATGGACTCAATGCCTTTATTTGTTTTTATGTGGTACTAGGATCGAACCTAGTGCCTCACACTTTCAAGGCAAGTGCTCTACCACTGAGCCACAACTCCAGCACCCCCTGTCAGTTTATTTGATAGTAATCTTTTGTTAATGAATGCTGTCTTATGGCATAGAACAATCTGTTTGCGTTAGTAACAAGTACAGTAGATTTTTAGCATTCTAAAAGGATAAACCCTGCAGTTCTGCTTCTTAGGAGCTAAGACAAGAGGATTGTAAGTTTGAGGCCAGCTTGGGTAATTTAGTGAGACCCAGTCTTGAAAATAAAATAAAAAAGAACTGAGGATGTAGCTCAGTGATTGCCTAGTATGTGTGAGTCCCTGGGTTCAATCTCTAGTACCCCACCTCCATAAACAACTGCAAAAGGATAAACTGATATCTTTGTGCATCTCAAATGTGTAAAATTCACAGCAGCTCTGGTAGAATATAACAAAGATGAGTTAGGATGAACTAGTTCTCTCTTTAATAAGCTATATCATTCCTACAAAGCAGCCTTACAGCTGGGACATTTCATATTTAGCAATGTTATAAATTATTGCATACTATAAGCCTCTAGTATTCCTAGAATAGTCTTTGAGAAATTCAAAGTCTACTAAATTGCACTGAATCTCATTAGTATAAACAAAATCAAATTACAGGCCTTAAGTGTTTTTGAGAACGCTCTTTTGTGATTTAAAACTTGAGATGTTTAAGGGAAGAAAATATAATAAGCTGCTTTTTTAAAAAAGTATGTATATATGCCTGTCCTTTTTCCATTTATGGTTTCTTTTTTATTGTTTTTGACTTCAATGTTTTGCATTTGAAGTTTGGAGACTGGATAAACAGCATCATTGGGAAACTAAGAAATATGAAATGTATTTTATTCCCTGAATAATAGTTAAGTTTTGATCAGAATACCATCCTAGCAGCCATGGTGGCACACACCTGGAGTTTCAGTGGCTTGGGAGGCTGAGGCAGAAGATTATAAGTTCAAAGCCGGCCTCAGCAAAATCGAGGCACTAAACTCAGTGAGACCCTGTCTCTAAATACAATACAAAATAGGGCTGGGGATGTGGCTCAGGTTGAGTGCCCCTGAGTTCAGTTGCTAGTACCTCACTCACCAGCCTCCCAAAAAAGAATGTCATCCTATATCATTTGACATTATTGTATTAACTTTTTTGTTAAGTCATATTGTTTTAGATTATGTGGGCAAGTTAATGTGTTATGAAACTTTCAGCATCTCTTTAGCATATTAATGGAATTTTTACATGTCCCTAGTCTCATACTATGCAAAGGTTAGGTTTAGCAGCAATATAAAGAGGATTTTACTCAAGAGTTAGTGTGTGGTGAGCCGTTGTCATAACTTGAATATATGTGATTTCTAACTTACTAGCATTCAAAATCTATGAAAAACAGTTAAATTTTTATTCTATGTGGATTATTTTAATTATTTTTGAACCCATTTCCAGTGGACTTCCTTTTAGAGCTTACCTTATTCTAGACTACTTATCTGCCACCTGCTCCACATGTACATATTATAAAATTAAATAAAACAAATAAGGTCAGTAAATCTAGTTAATAGGAAAGAAACCCATTGCATTCCAAGATTAATGTCATATTTAATTCAGAGGTCACTAATCAGCCATTTAAGACTTTTAAAAGACAGTTGATTTATTTATTTGTTCATTCATTCATTTATTTTGTGGTACTGGGGATTGAACCAGGACCTCACAAATGCTAGGCAAGCTTTCTACCTGCCTTTTTTATTTTATCTCGAGACAGGATCTCAATAAGTTGCCCAGGCTGATCTCAAACTTGGGATCCCCCTGCCTCTTTCTCCAGAATAGCTGGGATTCTAAAGGCATATCACCACATCTGGCAAAAATTTAAAACAAGTTTTGGTTATATAAGATTCATGTTCACAATGAATACAGAATCACGAAAAGCAAAACTCTTCCTGACCCATTCCCCTTTAAATTCCACTCCTGTTTTAGAGGATAGTCAAGGGTTTGGAGTATTTCCTATCCAGACCTCTTTCTATGTATTTACGTAGATTTATATTTATATACACACATTTTGTTTTGTAGCCGGACCACATTCCATCTGTGTGTTATTCTGTAACTTATTTATTTTTTCCTCCCCTCCATTCCCCTCCAAGCAAATTCACTGTGTAATGGAGATTTTATCTACCATTTTCAGTTACTCGGAACATAATTAGAATACTGAAGCATCTGAACCACCAAATAGAAATGTCATTGTTACCACCCTAATTCATTTTAATGTAGAGAAGAGCACTTTAGTACTAATTTACTCATATGTTAGATACAATGCTCACATGTTTTAATGGTTTCCCGGCCTTTAATAAATTATAAGGAAGAAGGCAACAGGTAACAAGAAAAAAAAAGGAAAGAAAGAAAACATCTGTTAAGACTATCAAAAAAGACAAAATCTCTCCAGGCATGGTGAAGCACACCTGTAATCCCAGTGACTCAGGCAACTGAGGCAGGAGGATTACATGTTTGTGAGCACTCTCAACAACTTAGTAAGACCTTGTCTTAAAATTTTTTTAAAAAGGCATACTATCTCAAAAAGCATTTACTGACTTGGAACATTTTCTGAAAGAAAAGTTATCACTAGTCTATATGGTAAGTACAGATAATCATCCAGCATTATTCCTTTTTCCTGTTACCCTCAGTTTGTGATTATTGCCTCTGAATTTTGTGGTTTATTACTGGCTTTCTGGTATTTAGACTTTCTATTTATAATTGTATCTATAATTTCAGGGTTTGATCTGGTTAAGAATTGTGAAATATATATTTTTAAAGTTTTTAATGTAAGCTTGAATGAGAAGTAAGTAACTGATCCTCTGGTTCACAATTAGGGATCTGGAGTATTTCCCTATTTTCCCCCTCTGTTTGTTCAGATGTGTGGTCTATAAGTAACTTGTCCAGATAGATGCTGTTAAAAAGGCTCAAACCTTTATTTATCAAACAGCTGTTGTGGTGTAGTTAGAGTAAGCTTAATAAAGAAAAGCTTATGCAGAGACCATCTTAAGGCAGCCTTTCACACATGAAAGGAAATTGTGGTAACAGGATGAAGGTAATTTGAGATCTTTAAACACCCTAAGGAAAATTACTCCTTTTATTAATTAAGAAGGGAAAGTAGTTCATTTTTCCCATAATTATTTTATGTACTTATGTAAAGTATTTAAACTGATTGTTAATTAAAGAATTGAAAAATAGCATCAATAACATATAATTTAATTTGCTAGTAACTTTTTTTTTGCCTTTCACATTTTTTTTCTTTTATTGGTTGTTCACAACATTACAAAGCTCTTGACATATCATATTTCATACATTAGATTGAAGTGGGTTATGAACTCCCAATTTTACCCCAAATGCAGATTGCAAAATCACATCAGTTACACATCCACAATTTTACATAATGCCCTATTAGTAATTGTTGTATTCTGCTACCTTTCCTATCCCCTACTATCCCCCCTCCCCTTCCCTCACATTTTCTCTCTCTACCCCATCTACTGTAATTCATTTCTCTCCTTGTTTATTTTCCCATTCCCCTCACAACCTCTTATATGTAATTTTGTATAGCAATGAGGGTCTCCCTTCATTTCCATGCAATTTCCCTTTTCTCTCCCTTTCCCTCCCATCTCATGTCTCTGTTTAATGTTAATCTTTTCTTCCTGCTCTTCATCCCTGCTTTGTTCATAGTTGCTCTCATTATATCAAAGAAGACATTTGGTATTTGTTTTTTAGGGATTGGCTAGCTTCACTAAGCATAATCTGCTCTAGTGCCATCCATTTCCCTGCAAATTCCATGATTTTGTCATTTTTTAATGCTGCGTAATATTCCATGGTGTATAAATGCCACATTTTTTTTATCCATTCATCTATTGAAGGGCATCTGGGTTGGTTCCACAGTCTAGCTATTGTGAATTGTGCTGCTATGAACATCGATGTGGCAGTATCCCTGTAGCATGCTCTTTTAAGCTCTTCAGGGAATAGTCCGAGAAGGGCAATAGCAGGGTCAAATGGTGGTTCCATTCCCAGCTTTCCCAGGAATCTCCATACTGCTTTCCAAATTGGCCGCACCAATTTGCAGTCCCAAAATTTGCAGTTTTTGGTGTACACACATCTTTATTTTATTTGCATGTGGTGCTAAGGATCGAACCCAGCGCCTCCTGCACTCAGGGCAAGCACGCCACCGCTTGGGCCACATCCTCAGCCCTAGTAACTTTTAAAATGTAGTTTCCTGGGCTGGGTTTGTAACTCAGTGGTAGAGTGCTTGCCTAGCATGGGTGAGGCACTGGGTTTGATCCTCAGTACTATATTAAAAAAAAAAAAATCAAATAACTTAAAAATAAAGGTAAATTCTTTAAAAACAAAATCATTTGGTTTCCCAAACATGGTGTGTGGAAGCATGAATACCTGTTGAGTGTAGAACAGAGGTTATAAGGTTGCCTCTGAATATATTGGCTTTTTAGAAGATGTAGTTGTCATACCCTGTTCCTTCTCTGTATAAATTAGAATTATCTTCTTGAAGTATCTTATAAAGTTTATCTCTCTTTTTTAAGCTAGATTTTATTTATTAGAAAAAAAGATGTCTATTTTTGATAAATTATTTAGTGCTTACTTTTATGTCACACTTATTGCCTACACTGTTCTAGGTTATTGATGTATTTTTGCCTGTACTGTTCTAGGTTACTGATGTATTTTGTCTATCAAATAACTTTAGAACTGTGGTTATGTTCTTGTTCAACAAGGAAAGCAACATGTTTTCAAAAATCTGTGTTTGAATATCAAGTATCCAACATGTGCTTTGGGGTTGTACAGTGTGTGGGTTTATGATCATGTATACTTATTTTTAATGAGGTTAAATTCTGCCACTTTATAGTTCATTTCCTAATATTTTATTTTATTATTATTATTTTTTTAGAGAGAGAGAATTTTAATATTTATTTTTAGTTTTTCGGCAGACACAACATCTTTATTTGCATGTGGTGCTGAGGATCCAACCTGGGCCGCACACATGCCGGGTGAGCGCCCTATGGCTTGAGTTACATCCCCAGCCCTCCTAATATTTTAAAAACATCATTGTGGCTCTCCAGTTTTCTTTTTTTTTTTTTTAAACATTTTTTTAGTTGTAGATGGGCACAATATCTTTTTTTTTTTTTTTTGGTTAAACACAATACCTTTATCTTGTTTATTTATTTTTTTAAATGTGGTGCTGAGGATCGAACCCAGGGCCTTCCTCATGCTAGGCGAGCGCTCTACTGCTGAGCCACAACCCCAGCCCAATATCTTTGTTTTATTTGTTTATTTTTTTATGTGGTTCTGAGGATCGAACCCAGTGACTCACGCATGTGAGGCAAGCGCTCAACCACTGAGCTACAATCCCAGCCCTCCAGTTATCTTTTTAAAAATCTCTCTCTCTCTCTCTCTCTCTCTTTTATTCCCCCAGTACTGGGGAGGTACCCACAGCCTCATGCACACTAAGCAAGTACTCTACCACTTAGCTCACCCCAGCCTTGTTGTATCTTTAAAGAGGGATTTTGATGGTTCAGACATGAGAAAAATTATCTGCATCTTAGAAATAAAAGTAAAACCTGCAATTTCATTTAAATATCTTTTAAGGATTATACTAAAAGTCAAAGTATAAGCAATAGGGTGATGTTGTTGTTACTACAATATACAGTTTAGTATTCTGTAAGTTCTTTGGTAGAAAAGGGGACTAATACATTTTCCACAGTTTTAGAGAATTTAAAGGCAAAAAGCTTTTCTAGTGTAAAATTAAGTTGATTTGAATTTCTATTATAATATAAATTAAATATGCTAATTTTGTTATGGTGTTCAGATTCTTCTGATACTGTTCATTCTGATAAGATTTTTAACTCATTTTTGTTTTGCTGTGCAGAACAGCTTGTTTTGTATTACAAGTTAGTGTTCACTTAGAATGAACCTTATCAATGTAGTTTCTACAGAGAAAAGTATGCTATTCCTGGTAAGCTGGGGAAAGTTGGCGATTGCTATTCTTTAAATGTAGTAAGTACAGTTGAAGACTTTTGGTGAAAATAATGTACAAGTACCTGTGGGATTAGAAGGAATTAGAACATTGATAGAATAATTTAGAATTAGTATTTTTAGAGAGAACCTGGTCAGAGTTCATTAAAATGAATCTGTAAAACATGAGCATTTTGAGTTACGAAGTCCAAAAAATGGTGAGAACTTGTAGATTTTCTCTCTCCCATGATGTTTAGAAAATTAGAAACAGTGTTGTGCGTTAATTTTTTTGGGGTATGTGTGCATGTGCGTGTGTGCGTCGCTGCTGGGGATCAAACCCAGGACTTCCTTGCATGCTATACAAATTGTCTAACAATGAGCTAAATCCCCACCTGCATTGCACAGTATTTTCTTTTTAAGTTTACTGGGTATTTTTTATGGGCTTATACTTTGTCACAGTTGGCAACATTGACTATAAAAAATTAGTTGTTCAATAAGTTGGTTTTTAGTTTTTTGTTCTTTAGTGAACATTCAGGTGATCTCCAACAGAAACTGTCTTTAGTAAAGATGGTTTTGAGCATCTTTTCTGGCTAATTGACATAAATTATGCCTATGTCTTGTTAAGTATATGTAAGAAAAAATGGAGCAGAGGCACACCTATGTGTGTTTCTGCCTGGCCAAAGACATTGTGTCTTTTTGTGTTGATGTATTTTTTTAATAGATTGGCATAGGAAGTGCAGAAATGCCACTAGTATAAACCCAAGTCACATGATACAGGATTATGCCAGTTCGAATTATTGAATGGATACTGCTGCCCAGTGGCTTTGGTGTTCAGAAGGTCCTTAAAAATTATTGCAGAGACAGCTGATCCAATCAAGGAATTTTGAGAAGCTAAAAAGCAGTTAAATTTTAATATTTATTTATTTTTTTTAGTTTACAGCTCTGGAAAAGATTGAAGACTTTAGCTTCTTACAACTGGCCAAGTATGAAATTTACCCTTAAGTAAAAGAAAAGAATAAATTCTGTCTGTCCTGTTAAAACTAATTTTCTCATTTTCTTCTCTAAACAGTAGCATTTTGTGTAACTTGAGAATAAAACAGCTGTTAACTGCCTACAACTGAAATTCTTTTCATTCCCTTTACAACAAAGCCCTCCTGAAGCAGAATGTAGATCACATGTATCATCAGACCAAAAAAAGTTCACTGGGACTACTCCTATCATTTTTCTCAGGGTCCGGAATCTTCACATTCCAGGCAGAGCTCCAGCTGTTCAGATTTAGTTACACAGTTGGGATTGGCTGTACCATCTACTCTTTTCTCCACCCCTTAATTTTCACTGGAAGAAGACTCTAAAGCAGGAGATTAAATGGAAGTGCTGTCACCAGCTTTCTGAGTGCAGCTGGCACCATGGGTGTGCTTCAGAGCAACTTATGTTTGCTCTGAGCCCCCTGCCCTGCCTCCCCTTTCACCATGTTTCCTCTGGCCAAGATTTTAAGTACAGCAATTCAAGAAGATTTCTCCTCCTAAAGCTCATTAATCTGAAGTGTATTGCCTCTTGATTGCTGGAAAAGAATTTAAAATTCATCTCAAAAGTAACTTATGAACAAATTTATTAAAGTGATGAAAGGAGCATTGAAATTGATTAGCACTGATTTTTTACTGTACCAAATTGTGCAGTCTCTTTCAGAGGAAACTTTAACAGGTCTGGTGAGTGTGCCATGCCAGTGGGGAGAATTGAATGTCCCTCGTCTCCCTCTTTCCCTAGGGACAGTAGTCATGAGTGCCGAGTATGCGGGGTCACAGAAGTGGGTCTTTCTGCATATGCAAAGCACATTTCTGGCCAGTTGCACAAAGATAATGTGGATGCCCAGGACAGAGAAGATGATGGGAAGGGAGAGGAAGAGGAGGAAGATTATTTTGACAAGGAACTCGTTCAGTTAATAAAACAAAGGAAAGAACAAAGTCGGTAAGTGATGATTTTTATTTTTTTTTAAAAAGCTTATCTGTAATAGAACATAGTAGAGAATATATTTTACATACTTTTTAGCCTATAGCATTTAAACTTAGTTATAAAATGTAACTTGAGGTTACTGTCTTTTGAATAAAGGAAAATGAAATGCTTTCTTGAACTACTGTGCTATCTGCTCTAAAAAATTCAAAACTCAGTTTTGTATGCTAGCTCTAGCTACATTCTGAGGTTTTTACTACATTGATAACTATGTTTAGAACTGTTTTAATGGTGTCCAGATTTTGTAGTGGAAAACTTAATTGAGTGTGAGCTTCTTTGAATATATAGCATTTTTAATTGGCAAAATAACATCTAGGAAAAATTTTTTACCTGATATGATTTAACATGGTGCTTCTGCCAAATTTGATTTCTGTCTTTGAATCCCTATTGGCTACCAAAGTGTTTGGTTTTTTTTTTAATATTTATTTTTTAGTTATAGGTGGACATAACACTTTCATTTTATTTTTATGTGGTGCTTAGGATCGAACCCAATGCCCCACACGTGCCCACAACCCCAAGCCTACCAAAGTGGTTTTACAAATATTTATCAAGTTAATTTATATTTTAAATTTGAGAGTGTCAGTATCATTTGAGTATCATTTGATAAATATTTATAAAACCACTTTGGTAGTTTGTATGGTATTTTATGCTTGTATGTATGTATTGAGGTGTTAGGAGTTTGTGATTTTGCCTTATTGATTTTATTTTCTGAAGAGTTTAATTAACAGCACAGAAATTTTCAGATATGAAAGAACACCATTTATAAAGTGGAATAATTTTTCAAGTCCAAAGACATGATTAAAAACATTTGAAATTCTACAATAAAATTTTGATCTTGAATCTTGAATACTAGTCATTCACCTCCTTTTTGGTTAGATATTTGGATATAAAAAAGGAGTATGTCATTTAACTCTGTGTATAATCAGGAATTTTTTGAACCAGTCCTTAAAATAAGACTTCCTTAACCTTAAAATGTCAATAGCAACATGGTTCTTTGAGTCATTCAGTTGCTTAGTCCTTCAAATGACATTCTCATTATTATTAGTACAGTTGTAGTTTACTCTTTCTGCTGTTTAAGGGAATTGGAGCCTCTAGGAGACTAACTTCTGTTTTATTCTTATACACCAGTGCCATTGTTAGCATATCTGTATAAATGATTGTTAAGTCAAAGGGTAAGAAGTATTTCAGTAGATTAGACATTGATAACACAATTCTTCAAATTTTCTTATATGCCTTTGTGGTAACCTATTTATAAAATCATCTGTTTCTTCATGAGGCCCCCCTCCCCCCACATGAGATATTTAACTCTGTTCTTTTGGGGCTGTGGATTTAGCTGAACACTATTATTCCCTCAGTCTAGCCAGGTCATGATGATCCAGGAATTCTTCATATATGATTTATTCCCCAATTCTCCCCCCATTTCTGATCTCATTTGTATAACTGAGTCTGTGGTTCCATTGGATGTTATAAGTTGCCTACTGCCTAGAAAGATAAAAACAAATTAGTTAATGATAACACACACAAAAAAATCCTGCTAGTGTATTTAATATCACTTGTTACTTGGAGACTTCAGGTCTTCTGGTTAGCCATGTTGTAATTTATAATGTAAATGGTATTTGCATTTTTTTAGATATATTAACTTTCAATTCCTTGTGGAAAAAAAAGGGATTACAATTGTGTTTAAAATGTTATAGACATTGAAAGCTCTTCAGACCAATTAAACTAAGTATTGAATTTAAGATTTAAGTCAAGTTTAGAGAAAGAAACCTAACCACAGAAACTTTGCTTTGGGATTTTCAGTCTATCAAGGCCTAGTGACTTAGGAGTGTAAACTTGGATTCAGACTGCCAAGGTTCAAATCTTTACTCTGCCACTTTTTGGCAAAACACTTAACCTGTCTCCTCCTCAGGTTGCTCATCTAAAAAATAGGAATAATAAGAATACTTGCCTTAGGATTGTGAAAATTGAATAGGTAATCTATTAAAAGAATTGCATTAAATGCCTGATACTTAGTAGATACTCAGTAAATTTTGGCTAATATTACTCAATATCTCGAGTCCTTAGCACTCCTTAGCTTGTGCTAGATGCACCATAGGCAGTTTATAGAAGAAAATGGTTTTGTAATTATTGCTATGATGTTTACTTAAACTTATTCACATTTCTGTGGCCTCCTTATTTAACATGAATAGTTCAAATAGTTGTAACTTCTTTATAAAATCCTCTACCTCATGGAGCTCCTTATAGCACCTATTGTGGTTACTGCTTATTTGTATGTGCTATTTTACTCCTGTTGTACTTTAATTCCTTGGCTAGGTTCTGAGCCCATCATAAACAGAAGCTGCATATTAAAGTTTTCTTATATCATTTCACAGTCATTGTATAAGTGCTTGATAAACTGTTTATTAATGAAGATAACCATGCAAAATATGATCGTAAAAATAGGTTAAGAAGGGGCTAGAGTTGTGGCTTAGTGGTAGAGTACTTGTGTAGCATGTGTGAAGCACTAGGTTTGATCCTCAGCACTGCATATAAATAAAGGAATAAAATAAAGGTCCATCAATAACTAAGAAAAAATATATTAAAAATGAAATTAAAACAAAACAAAAATAGGTTAAGAAAAAAATAGGTTAAGAAACTGGAATTTTTAGAAGGAACCTGTAATTGGAGAAATCATGTATTAAGGACAGATAAATTAACATAAAATTGTATCAACAATAGAATAAAAGGAACAGAGTCCTAGAATATGCCAATAAATATAGAACCAAGGAAGGATAGTGTAAATATGTCAGATTTGTAATATTTCTGGGATGATGGGGGAAATAATATATTATGTAATATTAATTAACTGAAGACTATTGAGTTTAACCATACCATTTAAAGATGCGAAAGCAAACACTATTAGAAATAAAATGGGGGCTGGGAATGTGGCTTAGTGGTAGAAAGCTGGTCGGGCACGTGTGAGAAACACTGGGTTTGATCCTCAGCACCATATAAAAATAAAATAAAGGTATTGTGTCCACCTAAAACTAAAAAAAAAAAAATTAAAAAAAAGAGGCTCTACTACTTAATCTAAATAATAGGGGAAAAGAGGCAGAAGGGAAGTTTGGTGGGTTTTGCCTATAAAGAATGCATTAAAATTCCTTTAAATTCTTAACAAAAAAACTATTTTTCTTCCAGACAAGATGAGCCTTCCAATAGCAGCCAAGATATAAACTCTGATGACAGGCAACCTCAATGGAGACGAGAAGACCGAATCCCTTACCAAGACAGAGAGAGTTACAGCCAGCCAGTGAGGCATCATCGTGGACCTCCACAGAGAGATTGGAAATGGGAGAAAGATGGCTTTAATAACAGTAGAAAAAATAGCTTTTCACATTGTTTGAGAAATAGTGGTGGACCAAGAGGATGTTCTGGGTGGCATAAAGGTGTTGCAAGAAGTTCCTCAACCTGGTTTCACAACCATAGTAATTCTGGAGGTGGTTGGCATTCAAATAGTGGGATGGTAGATTGGAATTATAACAGTACAGGAAGGAATTCCAGTTGGCATTCTGAAGGAACAGGTGGCTTTTCCAGTTGGCATATGAACAACAGTAACGGAAACTGGAAATCCAATGTACGTAGTACAAATAGTTGGAATTACAATGGCCCTGGAGACAAATTTCAACCAGGCAGAAACAGAAATTCTAACTATCAAATGGAGGACATGACTATGCTTTGGAATAAGAAATCTAATAAGTCAAGCAAATATAATCCAGAGAGATATAAATGGCAGTGGCAAGATAATGACAAAATTGGTACAGTTGCCACATATAGAAGTCCTTCTGAAGAAGGATTTACAAGTGATAAATTTCCTTCAGAAGGCTTACTTGACTTCAATTTTGAGCAGCCAGAAAGCCAAACCACTAGGCAGGCAGACAGTGCAGCTTCCAAAAGTAGTGGAAAGAATGGCAGTGTAGCAAGGGAAAAGCCTCGTCGCTGGACTCCATATCCTTCCCAGAAGACTCTGGATTTACAGTCAGGATTGAAAGAAGTCACCAGTAACAAGTCAGAAATGATAGATAAACCTCTCTTTGATTTTAGCTTGATTACCATAGGAATACAAGAACCTCAAACTGATAAAACAAATATCTCCCCAATACTAAAAACACAAAAAGAAATACATACTGGATCTCTTAATCACAAAACCACTTCTGACTGCACTGTTTCCTATGAGGTGGTAAGAGATTGCCCCATTGCAGAAAAACCTGAACAAAAGCATGATTCAAATAGGATTCCTTCATTGAAATCCCCACTCCTTCCACTTCCAGCCACTAAATCAGTTTCTCAAAAGCAAGATTCAAAGAATCCTTCAAACACCAAAGCAAATTCTTTTTCCCCTGGAGAACACTCAGATCCCTTGAACAAACCCACTTTAGAAGATAGACAAGGTTCTCCTTACATATCCAAATTGCGAAGTTCATGTCCTCATGTTTTAAAAGGGAATACAACTACATCTGGCACTCAAAAAAAACCTGATGATAATTTAAATGAAACATTACAAAAAGCCAAAGAAGTGCCAGAGTGTCATGAGACATTGCAAAATCCACTTCTTAGCACTTCTAAGAGGACCAGTAACTTTGCAAAGGCAAGTAGGAATGTAGAAGAGTCTGAAAAGGGATCTTTGAAGATTGAGTTTCAAGTGCATGCATTAGAAGATGAAAGTGATGGAGAGACATCTGATGTAGAAAAGCATGGAACAAAAATTGGAACTCTGGGTTGTGCAACTACAGAAGTTTTATCCTGCAGCACTCACACTGTTGAAGAGAAAGAACAGGATGAACAGATTTTGAAAACACCTCGGAAATTTTCCACCTCCCCTTGTAATTCCACAGTTCACCAGAATGAGTCTGAATTACAAGTGGCATCTGCAGCTAGTCCACACTCTGGCTTATTGCTAGACTTGAAAACCTCTCTAGAAGATGGACAGGATGACAACCCTATTAAATCTCATATATCTTTTGAAACAGAAGGCTTTGAGAGTACTAGTTTAGATGCTGAGCTTCAAAAAAGTGATATTAGTCAGCCCTCTGGTCCTCTCTTGCCTGAACTAAGCAAGCTTGGCTTTCCTGCCTCACTTCAGAGAGATCTAACCCGGCACATTAGTTTGAAGAGCAAAACTGGAGCACACCTTCCTGAGCCAAACCTCAATAGTGCTCGCCGTATTCGCAATATTAGTGGTCATCGAAAGAGTGAAACAGAGAAGGAGTCTGGACTCAAACCAACCCTACGACAGATTCTAAATGCATCTCGGAGAAATGTCAACTGGGAACAGGTCATTCAGCAAGTAACCAAGAAAAAACAAGAGCTAGGCAAAGGCTTACCCAGGTGTGTGCCTCTTTTCAGTATCTGTGTTCTTTCTTGCTTTCTTTTAAAGGTATCCTTTGACCTGGGTCAAGAGAATTCTGCTTGTTCCTTTTAATTAAATGTTTGCCAAAAATACTCATTGTAGATGTCTGATTCAATTTACTATCAAAGACTAAGTGGTACTCTATGACTAATGGAATACAGTTTTTCTTAGTGGAGAATGGAGGTTAAAATGGAGGCATACCTCCTTCTGAGAAAGGAGATAGGGGCATAGGAAAAAATCATCAGCCATCCATTATTTCAGTTTGTATATCCATAAATCTGTATCTATCTTTAGAATTTAATTTCTCTAGATCTAGATCTTGAATGAATGACACAACTTTTAAATATAACTGTCCTCATTGCCTCTTACTTAGAACCTGTGGATAGTTACCTTTCTGTATTTACTCTGGACATCATACTTCAGAACACAAAATGTTTATCTCGAACACTTCTGTAATATTGTGGCTGTTCATCTTATGTTGAGGTACTATTCTGAATGATAAAGTGTTCAAACAGATTTACTACCTGAAAATCATAATTCTGTAGCATTTTAACATACCCTTCAGGTTTAGGGTAGTTTCTATCCTTGTTCAAATAATAAATTTATTTTTCCCCCTTTTCCTTTACCAGATCTGGTGAGTAGTATATGAAATTATGAGTAAAAAACTCATTGTAGTGCCTGACACTTGTAAGTGATCAGCGAAAGTTTATTGTTTGTTTTGGTTTATTTACTTTTAAAAATTAGGTGTTTTTGTTGTAGATTTAGAGCTGTATTTGAAATAAAATTCTCAATTTTTACTCTCATATGTATTCTTATGCTATATGTCTATAATTTATTACTGTGACATAGCAAAATTATTTATTTTCTGTCTCAATTCCTTATCAAACTGTGAGCTCCTTGAGAACAGGAACCATCTTATATGTTTTTGTAACCTGTGCTTGACAGAGTCTGACACATTAAAAAGAGCTCTTCCCTATAACCATGTCGTTTTATGTTTTTTGTTTTTTTCTTTTTTAAGGTTTGGCATAGAAATGGTACCTCTGGTTCAAAATGAGCAAGAGGTCTTGGATTTAGATGGTGATCCTGATCTGTCTAATTTAGAAGGATTCCAGTGGGAAGGTGTTTCCATTTCCTCATCTCCTGGGTTGGCCAGAAAGCGAAGCCTTTCTGAGAGCAGCGTGATCATGGATAGGGCTCCTTCTGTGTACAATTTCTTCAGTGAGGAAGGTACTGGCAAAGAAAATGAGCCCCAGCAGATTGTTTCACCTAGTAACTCATTGAATGCTGCACAGAGTCAGAAAGCAACGATGTGCCTTAAACAGGAGTTGACACCTCTGACTGCCTCCCTCAGAACAGGTGAAAAGTCTGAAAATGTTGCTACCCGAAGGCGTCATAGTGCACAATTACCCTGTGATCATATAATACCTTTGATGCATTCAGCAAAAGACCTAAACAACCAGGAGAGGTCTACACCACCATCAGAGAATCAGAATGCCCAGGAGAATAATGGAGAAAGAAACTCTCTCTCATCAAATGCATCCTCACTCCTTGCAGCCTCCAGTTTAGCAGATGCAGCCACTGATAGCAGCTGTACCTCTGGTGCTGAACAAAATGACAGCCAGAGTATTAGAAAGAAACGAAGAGCCACCGGAGTGAGTATGATTCCCTGTGCTTTTTATAGAACATCTCATGTAGCAACTTAGTTGTTTATAAAGAAGGTTTAACTGTTTGATTTTGGAGGGATTTGGGGTTGTAGTTCTCTACACTCTGGAATAGAACTATGAGGCTCTTATTTCATCCTACTGGTTTCTTTCACCGAGTAGTTCTACAAAATTAGATGTAATGTAATATGAATGTACAGTACCAGGAAAATATGAAGTCATCGCTAAAACTAGTCTTCAACCCAGTGAGTCTTTGTATCACCTGACCAATAATAAGTCATATCTTCAGCTGTAATGCAGTCTATTTTCATAGATGTACTCTGTACTGCTTCTGAAGAGTTTTCTGTTATGTTTGTAATGCATGTATGTATGACTGTTGGATTCAGAACTTCTAGGATTAACACTAAAGTAGCTTGTTACTGTTAGAGTGCATATATAAGAACATAGCATAGAAGTATTTTGTTTTATTTTTGTGGTATTGAAAATTGAACCCAGAGGCTCTCTACCACTGAGCCATACCCCCAGCCCTTTTTATTTTATTTTGAAACAGGGTCTCACTAGATTGCCCAGGCAGACCTTGTACTTATGATCAACTTGCCTCAGCCTTCCGAGTTTCTGGGATTATAGGCTTGTGTCACCAGGCCCAGCTTTTTAGTACTTGTAACTATCTTTTGTCCTTTAGCTACCCAGCCTGGCTTCTTAAGAGTCTTGTCCTTCACCAGTACCACTTCAGCTCTTCTGGCATTCCTACTTGATATTGCTTAATCTTCTCAGAATTCCTTTCTGGAAAGAAAGAGTTGCTGGTAGTGATAGAATCTGGAATCTGGCACTGTAAGAAAATCGTCTCTTTCCTTTAAAACTAAGGCAATAAATAAAGTAGTTAGGGTCATGGGTTTAGACCTGTTTCAAATTCCTATTCTGTTCCTTGGAACTAGACTGTACATAGGGGATATTAGATGATTTGACATACAAAAGTAAAAAATTATCCTTTGGCAAAGCTAATTTTTTTTTCATCCTCTAATCCCCATTTTTTTCCTAAATATTGGCTAACAACACAATTATTGTCTTAAAGGAGTTCATGATCAAGTAGAAGAATTTCTATTTTTATTACAAAAAAGTGGTCAGAACTGAGTATGGACTCAGCTTCTTCCTCTTTTGCCCATGACAGCATTTAATTGTCCCTAGCTCTTTTTTCCATTGAGTTTAAAACAATCATAGAGTCCACGTCCACAATGACAAAGCTAGTATCTTGAGATTTGTCTTATAGGCAGTTTAGCTTCTTATTGCAAAGATTTTCTTGATGAAGTTTGAAATAGAAACTGTGCCAAAATAAAATTAGAGTTTGTGTTATTGGCTTTGTTCATATGTGTGAATTACTTCACCAAGGTGGAATGCTTTACCTAAGCCTGTGGGTTTTACCACCTTTAAGATGCTGGGAAGGCATCTGATCTTGTACTGTCCCCCTCACCCCTTTTTTTCTTTTTTAGCAGATACATTGATTCAACTAATATTTGACTTGTGTGTGAGCAATAGTGAAGGATAATGTACGACTATCTTAGAACTTTCATTCTTTATTCTTTTTCTCTTGGATAATGACCTTTACATATTGAATTATTCAGTTTTGTTTTGCTCCACAGGATGGATCTTCTCCTGAACTCCCAAGTCTTGAGAGAAAAAATAAAAGAAGGAAAATTAAAGGGAAAAAAGGTATGGTGCAGAATATTGTGGCAAAAAGAAGTTGTTCTTACAGCATTTCGGTCTTCATACAACTTGACACAGCAAACTTGTGTTCATCAAACACTGATACCCATTTTTTTTTTTTTGCATTGTCTTCTTTCTTAAGAGCAAATTGGATTTCCTACAACACTCAGTACAACTAGAGGAAGAGTATATGATGCCACATAGACCTGTAGGCTGAGGTTATATATCTCTTATACAATATAAGCCAGAAAATCTTATTGGGCCTTTTCAGTAGGATAAAAAAGAGCATGTCATTTAGTAAAAACATTGTTGTTCTTAATCATTTATAGGCATTTCTCTCAATTTCTCATTTTTGAAGCATTTTGGTTGCTTTTCTAATAGTGAATTAAGGAAAGAGGTTATTAGCATTGTTCCTCCTCTGATAGGTTTCTGTGACTTTTGCTTTCCTTATAGGGAGTGATTTGATGAGTGGATGGGATAAATAAGGGAAGAGTCAAGGGCAACCCTGTTTTCTGGTTGGGGAAATTAGGCAGATGATGGTATTATTTATAGAGATAGACGACTCCATGGCAGGAACAGATTGAGGCTAAAGAAAGATGAGTTTCCTTTTAGATCCTTTGATTTAAGGGACCTTTGAGACACTTAGAAAGGGATATAATAATTGGATATGTGGATCTGATATTTAGAGGAGAGGTTTTAGCATATTAAATTAGAAAAAGACAAATGATGACACATACATTATTTAGAACATTTTATTTAAGTTAAATACACTCCTCTCGGGGTGGGATTTTGGCTCAGCGGTAGAGCACTCGCCTAGCACGTGCAAGGCCCTGGGTTCAATCCTCAGCACCACATAAAAATAAATAAATAAGGTTATTGTGTCCAACTATAACTAAAAAATAAATATTTAAAAAAGTAAAATAAATAAACAAATAAATACACTCCTTTCTGATATTGTGAAATATATTTTTGGTCTTTGTTTGCTGGCATACAACCTAAATCCTTGGAATCTTTTAAGTGATAGAATCTTTTTTTGTGTGCTAATGGTTGACTTATGGCTGGCAGGTAGCTTCAGGATGAGGGGTTGTTCACCTGAAAGATCAAGGCAGGATTGAAGGGTTGGGACTCTTCAGCTGTAAACCCCACCCCAGCCCCTGCGCACGCATGCAGCCTTTTGTGGGGGAGGAGGAAGCCCTGAAGGTTAAATCAGTCTTTAGTGGCCCCAAATTTAATCAATTATGCCTGTGTAGTAAAGCCTCCATAAGAACCTAAAAGGAAGCTGGGGCTGAGGCTCAGTGGTAGCCCTCTTGCCTGGCATGTGTGAGGCACTGGGTTTGGTTCTCAGCACTGCATATAAATAAATAGATTAAAGGTCTGTCAACATCTAAAAAAAAAAAAAAAAGTACGTGTGTGTGTGTGTGTGTGTGTGTGTGTGTGTGTGTGTGTGTATAAACAACAACTACGACAAAATAACCTAAAAGGACAGGGTTCAGAGATCTTCCTGGTAGCTGAACACATGGAGGTTCTTGGAGAGTGGCTCACCCACACAGCATCACACTTCTTTCTTCCATACATCCATACATTACCCTATGCATCTCTCTATCTGTATCCTTTGCAATATCCTTTGTAATAAATGAGCAAATATAAGTATTCCCTTGAGTTCTATAAGCTGCTTAAACAAATTAATTGAACCTGAGGAAGGGGTTATAGGAACCCTAAATTATGGCCTGTTGGTAGTCTTGGAGACTAAATGCTCAGTCTCTAGGATATTATGTTATCCCCAGGTAAATAGTGTTGGAATTGAATTGGAGAATACCTGTCTGATGATGTTCCCTGCAGAATCAATTTTTGCTGTGTATGGGGAAAGCCCCACACATCTGGCATCAAAGTGATCTGTGTTGTTGAATGTGTGTAAGAGAAATAGTCTGAGTTTGACTCCTTATGTTTCTACTGACACAATGTATTTTTTTCACAAGGCATTTTCTAATAAGGAGAGCTATTCTAACTATGAAAATATCAGAAGAAAATGAGAAATGTGTCAGGGCATTAGAATGAGCAAGGATTTTTTGGATAAGACCCCCAAAACACAGTGAGCAAAAGCAAAGATGACAAATTAGTTAAAATAGCACCCAGATCAAATTCCCTGTAGCCTTACTTGAGAACAAAGGAACAGTAGATCTCATACATCTGCTAATACCACACTGCTGCCTAATCCTTTTTTCCCAGTTTTTCTGGAGCCGCCTCACCTCCTTCCTATGTATCCCCATCATCAGCAAACTAAAAAATATTCTGCACATCAAAGGAAATAACAGTAAAGAAACAATCTCAAGAATGGGAGAAAATATATGTTTTTAGTGCTATAAATATTCTGGATATTAAACCCTTGTTAAATATATATAACTATCTTAGTGGTAAATAATAATAATAATAATATGACTGAAGAGAACCATTTGACATTAACAGACTAGAAAAATATAAGATTTGGGAGGAAAGTTCCAAGCAGGCTAGGTCTGAGGCCCAGTCTAAGCAAAAGCCCTAAATGAAGTGGATGGTAGCTAAAAAATGGAAAATAAAACCTCGATCCATGAATGTGCTTCAACAGAGATTTCACCTGGGAAGTTAGTGGAGAAAGAAAGTGATTAGTTAGGATAGTACAATGTGGTATACTTGAACTATGAGACAACTCTTTCGATTCTTACTTCATTTCTATCTTTGATATCAGACTTGGCCACATATTTTCTAAGACTTGTCGAGTCTCCTAACCTCTGGAGGAGAAAACAAAAGTTTTTTCCTAAATCATGGGCATAGTTGAGTCTTTTGAGAAACTGTTACTGAAGAGGAGTCTCCAGTATTAAGCTGGGCCTTATGATTTCTTTCAGCAGAACGTTCTCAGGTTGACCAGCTACTGAATATTTCCTTAAGAGAGGAAGAACTAAGCAAATCACTGCAGTGCATGGATAATAACCTTCTGCAGGCCCGGGCAGCTCTGCAGACAGCATATGTTGAAGTTCAGAGGTTGCTCATGCTCAAGCAGCAGGTAACAACGTATGTATGGTCTAATGAAAACAGATCATCTCAGAAGTAGATTTTGAAATGCTTAACAAGATACTTTATTTTCAGATAACTATGGAAATGAGTGCACTGAGGACTCATAGAATACAGATTCTACAGGGATTACAAGGTATTCATAGGGTGTCCATAGCTTATTACTTTTTGTTCTATATAGAAGGGAGGGAAAAGTAGTTATGGAAAGATCATATGGTTTCTCCCATGTTTTTTTGGTTTCATCATTCTGTAAAAAGCCTGAAACCAGCTAGGCACCATGGTGCTCACCTGTAATTCCAGCTACTCGGGAGGTCAAGTCAGGAGGATTGCAAGTTTGAGGCCAGCCTCAGCAATTTAGTGAGACCTTCTCAAAATAAAAAATAAAAAGGGCAGGGGAAAAAGCTCACTGATAGAACGACCCTATGTTCAATCCCTAGTGCTGCAAAAAAACAAAAAGGGAAAAAAAAAACCCTTAAACTGTATATCCCAGAAATGTTTAGCAATGGATATAGTAACTCTGGATTAAGAATAAAAAGACCAGTGTTCAAATCTGGCACTTCCACTGGTGTTTATATAATTTTAGATAAGTCATTTAAAGTTTAGAAAATTGATATGTTGATGCCAATTTTATACCTGTATCTTTAGTAGTTATATAGATTAGATGATATTCTATTTTGAAGAATTATGAGGGAGTATACTAATATATTTATTTAAAATTCCTTTCTAATGTTTATAAATACAAATTGTTTTAGAAACAAGTGACTCTTCAGATAACATTTTTGTATTTGTATATGTGTTTCCTGTTCTAGAAACATATGAACCTTCTGAGCACCCAGATCAGCTTCCCTGTAGCCTCACTCGAGAACAAAGGAACAGTAGATCTCAGACATCTGCTGATACCACGCTGCTGCCTAATCCTTTTTTCCCAGTTTTTCTGGAGCCGCCTCCTTCCCATGTATCCCCATCATCCTCTGGAGCCCTTCTCAAAGTAACTACATCTCCTGCTTTCCAAGCCCCTGGGAGTGTCCCTGCTCCAGACTCATCAGTTCAGATTAAACAAGAGCCCATGTCTCCTGAACAAGATGAGAATGTGAATGCTGTATCACAAGTCTCTGCTTGCAGTGTATCCAAGGAATTACCCCAAGTTAATAGTAAGTAAGCTTTTCTCTGGCTTAAAGGGCATCCCTGCAGTGGGACTAGGGCAGTTATACAACAGTGTGTAAAACCATACTTGTCCATTAAACTAAAGTTATTACAATTAAATTTTTATTTAAATGCCCTTCCTAGAGGAGAGTTTTTTTAAATGTTTTAGAGAATGTAATTTAAATATCAGTAACTTAATTTTCTCTAATTTAAGGTTACTGAGTTGACTTTGTATTAATACTTAAAAGTTTCTATTTATTAGGTTAGGTGCAGAATTTATTTGGTGTTTTTGATAAATGGGTTAAAGTTGTTCATCCAGTTTTTTAGATAAGGTATATGCTCTGAGTTTTTTATCATCAAATGTCCTTATCTCAAATACAAGTCAGAACTTTTATAAGCCCGAGAGGCTGGTAGCCAAGATAAGATGACGTGGGGTTCTGGGGTTTGTAATCCTCTAATGGGAACTTGGACTTAAGTGGTTTTGAGAAGTAGCCAGGATTTTTACTCTTTTCATAAAATAACATCTAGTTAACATTTGAGAATAACTTGTTAGTATTTAAAATCTGTTAGAAGTTTTTATGAACACAGTGTTGCCATATTGAAAATTAGGACCAACAAAGAAACAAACTGGCATTGTGTGATTTCTTGAGCAAAAACAGTCTGAAAAATTACCCTAGCTTTTAGTACCAGTATAAATAATATTGATATCAAATGGAAATTGTCCTTCATGTTGAATTTTAAGTTGCTTTTTTTGTGGATAGTATTTAAAATTTTAAAAAAATAGTAATAAAGATTCTTTTATAGATTTCTTTTTCTGATTACAAAAATAATTCACTTTCATTATTAAAAAGTTGGGAGATTACAAAAATGTAGATGTTATTTTGTTATATTATTTCAGTGTTTACTCTTTATTTTTTTATTTTTGGTACTGGGAATTAAACCCAAGGTGCTTTACCATGAACTATTTACTTCCTACCTCTTTTTATTTTTTATTTTGAGAAAGGGTCTCGCTAAGTTGCCGAGGCTAGCCTTGAATTTGCAGTCCTCCTGCTTCAGCCTTGTGAATTGCCTGGGTAACAAGTATGCACCACCATTCCTGGCTATATTTCAAGCCATTTTTTTTTTTCTTTTTTACTTTTTTCTTTTTGTGACACTGGTAATTGAACCTGCCAGGGCCTCAAACATGCTAGGCAAGCACTTTACCATTGAGCCTTATCTAGCCCTTAGTCTTTCTTACATCACAGGTGTTCGTGTATTTATATGTAGACTTTGATTTTTTTTTTTTTAATAAAAGAGAGGGATAGTGATTTTTTTTTAAAGGGGGGGCAGGGAGAGAATTTTAACATTTTATTTTTTAGTTATTGGCGGACACAAAATCTTTGTTTGTATGTGGTGCTGAGGATCGAACCTGGGCCGAACGCATGCCAGGCGAGCGCGCTACCGCTTGAGCCACATCCCCAGCCCTATATGTAGACTTTGTACAAAGGAGAAATCATAGCCTATTACAACCTGACCTTTTGCATTTAATATTTCATTTTCCTTTGTCTTGAAAATAATTCATCTAGAGCTGGGTCTGGTAGCACAGGCCTGTAATCCCAGCTACTCAGGAGGCTAAGGCAGCCAAGTTCAAGGCCATCAGGGCAATTTAGCAAGATCCTATTTCCAAAAAAATAGATTTTTTTATCTAAAATATTTTAAACATTTTACTAGTTGTGTAATATTTGAAAAGTTGCACAATCAAGATATACAATAATTTATGTAATAAATCTCCTTTGAATATTTAATTTTTTCTCATCAGTTTAAAAATTCCTAAAACAGGAAATAATTAAGTTAATGAAAATAAGCATTCTTAAGTCAATTGAATTTTTTAATCACCCGTGTATAGTGAAATAGGATGGTGTATGGGTAAAAGGAAAACATCTAAGAAATAAAACTGGAAATACTTTAGCTAAATAGATATTTAAATATCTAGAAAGAATAAAACACCATATTAAATATGTGGACTTTTAAAATAAGATTAAGAGTAATATAAGCAATCCCTGCCCCACATGGAGTTTTTTTGTTTTTTGGCAGAGCTGGGGCTCAAACCCAGGGCCTCACAAATACTAGTCAAACACTATTATTGAGCTATTCCCAGAGCCACATAAGGAGCTTTTGAAAGGACTAAGACATGCCTATTATTTTTTATATTGACGTAAGGCAAAGGATAAGAGCCATAATAGGGATGAGTGTAGGTTATGGGTAACTTCATAGAGGATGAGTTAACAGCTGTAACAATCATGGTTTTATGAACATATCACTGATACATTACTTGGTAGAGATTCAATTAGTGATAAATAATTTGCAGTTTGCAAACACACAAAAAAAGATGTAAAAGTCTTTTCCTTCTCAACTTAGGAGAAATCAGTTGTCCAGTTTATCCAGTCATCACTGCAGCATTGTCCTTATCAGAGGTAACAGAAAATTGCCATGAACTTATCCAAGATCTGAAGTTTCCTGTGGAGCAAGCAAATACAAGAAACAGGGAAAACTCTCCCTCTTCCCAATCAACAGATCTTCTTAGCATAAATAAAGACAGTGAAGAGCCAACCAAAGGCAACAGTGGGTCTGAAGCATGTAGCAGTTCGTTTCTAAGATTATCTTTTGCTTCAGAAACCCCTTTGGAGAAAGAGGCTCATTCTCCAGCTGACCAGCCTGAGCAACAGGCAGAATCCACTTTGACATCAGCTGAAACTAGGGGAAACAAGAAAAAGAAGAAACTTCGGAAGAAGAAAACTCTACGAGCTGCCCATGTTCCTGAGAATAGTGACACTGAACAGGATGTATTTACTGCTAAACCTGTAAGGAAAATAAAAACTGGAAAATTAACTAAAGGGAGTAAAGTAACCACCTCTACCTGGGAAGATAGAACTGGTCAGGAGCAAGAGAGTGTCAGAGAGGAGGCAGACAGTGACTCATCCCTAGAAGTTCTAGAAATCCCTAATCCTCAGTTAGAAGTAGTAGCTATTGATTCTTCTGAATCTGGAGAAGAGAAACCTGATAGCCCATCTAAAAAAGATATTTGGAACTCTGCAGAACAAAACCCACTAGAAGCTTCTCGTTCTGGTTGTGATGAAGTTAGCTCTACCAGTGAGCTTGGTACCCGCTACAAGGATGGCATCCCTGTGAGGTAAGGATGTTATTGGTCCAATCAAAACAGCTTTCATCAGTCTTTTTTTTTTTTAATGTTTATTTTTTATTTTCAGGGGTACCAAGGATTGAACTCAGGGGCACTTAATCACTGAACCACATCTCCAGCCCTATTTTGTATTTTTATTTAGAGACAGGGTTGCATTGAGTTGCTTTGTGCCTCACTGTTGCTGAGGCTGGCTTTGAACTTGTGATCCTTCTGCTTCAGCCTCCCAAGCCACTAGGATTACAGGCATGCATCACCACAACCAACCACTCGTCATTTTTTTTTTTTTTTTAAAGAACTTTTCATGGTGCTAGGGTTATAGCTCAGTGGTAAAGTGCCCCTGAGTTCAATCCCCAGTACAAAAATAAATAAAACTTTTAGTTACGAATCAGAATTTGTTTAAAAATCAAAATTTGTTTGAGAATAGTAGGTTATGGAAATGGAGGAATTAGATTTTAATAGTGGAGATTTTTCTGCTTTCTCTTTTGATTAGGTTGTAAATATTCATTCTGTTTTTATTTTTCTTCATATAGAAATTTGATATAGAAAAATTGATCTCTTATTATATCATTTACTACTTTGCCTATTGTTTAGAGAAATTCCCTAAGTTGGGAAATTTTTAGATTTTCTATCTGTCCTATTCTCACAGATGCTAAGAAGGCTTGCTTTTATTTTGCAGTGTGGCAGAAACTCAAACTGTGATCTCCTCCATAAAAGGATCAAAAAACTCTTCAGGTATTTGTCATTTTATTTTATGTAAATCAACCACAGGAAAAAGATTTGTAAATTTAGATCCAAGGTTTATATTTACAGAATGGCGGGCAGGAACATCAACAGAATTTTCTTGATCAGCGCTAAATCTTCAAATCCTGGCTTTTTCAAGTCTTTCACTTCCATCTCTCTTATCTGAGTCCCTTATCTACTAATTAGTATTAAGATTTCATTGGCTCCAGAGGTTTTTGCTTTGAGAAGGAACTGCTTAAAGAATAATCCCTTACTTAAAGAAATAACTGTTCAGAAGCAAGAGATGCAGCAAGAAGAGAGACTGGGTACCTTTCAAATATCACTGAGAAGTTCAATCTGTAAGGATTTTCTTCCTAAATTAAAGGTCCCCCACCTTCTCTTATTTTATAAGCTTCATAATAAAGATTTTCAGTGAGAATTGTTATATTCTGCTAGAGAAAATAGACTTTTTAGGAAATCATCTTTAGGTTTAATTCAGGGACAACTATATGGTATAATGTTTTTGAGTTTTGAGTATCTTTCTAGACTGTAGCAGACATGTCTCTGAAACCTATTCTTGTTTTCTAGAAATATCTTCAGAGCCAGGAGATGATGATGAGCCCACAGAAGGAAGCTTTGAGGGGCACCAAGCTGCAGTGAATGCTATTCAGATATTTGGAAACTTACTGTATACCTGTTCAGCAGATAAAACTGTCCGAGTTTATAATCTGGTGGTAAGTGAATGTGACATTTTGAATGTTTTTGGTTATATAGGTTTTGGAAAATCTTGTTCATACATGTTCTCTTCAACATGGAGGGGAATTTATTGAGGGGTTTTACTGACTTTAGTTGTAGTTGATCCACATCTCAGTGGGGTCACTGGGGACTTTATTATTTCTCTCTTATCTTTGTCTTCTCTGATATCATCTTTTCCTAAAAGGTGCCTTGTAAAGTGCCTCTGGAGTTTGTTTTTCTTTTCACCACCAGAAAGGGGGGTGGAATTATATAAACAAGCTTAGGCCAGTCAGGTACTACACTGGAGTTGATGATGGCGTCAGTTGCATAGCTGCTGTATTAGTGATAATATGAATATTAGGGATTATTAGAGGAAACATTTTTCCCTAATAATTAATTAATTACAGAATCCAAGTTATTGAGGAGAGCAGCAATTTTTCACTCTCTTATACTTTTATGATTTAAGTTTTGGATTTCAGGTATGTCAAAACTAATTCTGTTTATCAATAGTGATAGCCAGGAAACTTTAGGGACAGTATGTTATCTTCACAAACACTGTGAAAAAGTATGTAAAGTTACTAAATTCAGTAAAAACTAAAAAGTTAGCTGATGAACCAGAAAGATTTGTTTACTATAGGCAGTAGGTATATAGGTTCCTTTAATCTAGTGATATGAGTAGCAGCAGCAATGACTGAAGAAAGGAGACGGTGGTACAAGAAGTATGAGTGTAAGATCCAGGGGGATCAAGTCCATCTCTAAATTACAAGGGGTGTGTATGTGTGTGTGTGTGTATGTGTGTGTGTGTGTGTATGTGTATACGTACATATAGCTTGTACACACATACACTTTTTTAATATTTATTTTTTACTTGTACTTGGACACAATACCTTTATTTTACTTATTTATTTATTTTTATGTGGTGCTGAGGATCAAACCCAGGGCCTTGCACATGCTAGGCGAGCACTCTGCCATTGAACCACAAACCCAGTCCCTACACACACATATATTCTAAATAGATTTTGGTGTATACATAGAAATGACATTTAGAAATTCCCTTAGGAAATCATACCTAGACCCTGAAGACTTGTAGTAGCACCTGACACATTTTTTTTTAGTATTGTGGAGTATTCTCAAGCTGATGGTCAAACATGCAACTTTATGGGTAATTAGCTTCATTTTGAATTTGCTAGGTGCTTGGTCTATGTGTTAGAGAACCTTGCCCTAGGCATGAAAATTTGGACCTTTTTTTGTTTCTAGTGCTATGGATTGAACCTAGGTCCTTGCACATACTATGTATATGCTGTTCACTGAGCTACCCTCCCAGTACTGGCCTTCATTATAGTGAATTACCTTAAGTATTTTTTTGTATGTCTCAGTTAACATAATTCTATGTAGCTCAGTATATGTGACTGTTTTGATAGGCATTCAGTGAACAAATATTTATTGAATATCTTTTGTGTACCAGGCATTATTCCAGGCATTGAGTGAATTGAAAGTTTTAGCATTTTTGTTGTTGATGATGAAATGTATTGTTTAATCCTACATCCTAAAAGTAATCATTTAATCTTTGCTTGATTTTAGAGTCGGAAATGTATTGGTGTGTTTGAGGGCCATACTTCCAAAGTTAACTGCCTTCTGGTTACTCAGACTTCTGGAAAGAATGCTGCCCTTTACACAGGTTCCAGTGACCACACCATTCACTGCTATAATGTTAAGGTAAGTGGGTCTAGAGAAATCAAAAGTATTGTAATTTTGCCAGGCACCATGTTGCATGCCTGTAATCCCAGCATTTTGGGAGGCTGAAGCAGGAGGCTTGAAAAGTTAAAAGCCAGCCTCAGCAAGTTAGCAAGGCACTAAGCACCTTAGGGAGAGCTCATCTCAAAATAAAAAGATCTGGGGATGTGACTCAGTGGTTAAGTGTCCCTGGGTTCAATCCTTGGTCATCCTGATACCCCGCCTCCGCTCCCCAAAAAAGTGATAATTGTGAGCCTTTGACTATTTACTGTATTGAATGGAGATACTGTGGCAGATACTTCATTCCACCCATTTGACTTTCTTTGTGTCTGAACCTGTTTTAGCATACTGAATTACCTTGGGTAGACATGAGATTTAGATATAAACCACATTTTGTGTCTCTTTCCAGTATTATTTATATCCTACTATTAATAATATATATCCCCCTTGGTCTTTCTTTCAAATATTCTTAATTTTTGCTTTTACATCCTATGCCAAAATTTTGCCTAGATAGAATTAATTACAAAATGTTTAAAATTTTTAAACCTAAATACTTTGAACTAAGTGAGAAAATCTCATTAAAATTACAAATAATATATGGTTTCATAATTATGTACATGTATAGCTCAGTGGGAGTCATGAGGCCCTGGGTTTAAGCTGTAGCACTGCTCCTACACCAAAATCTTACATAATATGTTCTTAATTTCTTTAAAAGACAAAACTATATGATACAAAATTTATGACTCTATATCGTTAGGTTTATCACATTTATAGATGGAATATGTATGATAATAGGAAAAAGGAAGGGAGGGAATATAGTCAGTGCTAGTTCAAGGTTCTTGTATTTTACTGGGAAGAAGTCAGTATTTAATTGAATTGTTAATAATTAAGATTTGATTTCTGTGGCACTGTTCACAACTTTAGTGTGCATCAGATTCATCTGGAGAGCTTAAAACACTGGATATGTTTTAAAATCTATACTTTGGCCTTTAATCACTTGGGTACCATTTAGTAATTATTTTCTTTTTTTTTTAAATTCTTGTCTGCTACTATCAAATCCAGGGCCTTGCATGTCAGGCAAGCACCCTACCACTGAGCCACACCTCCAACCCTCAACAATAGTTCTTGCATATATACTATATATGGCCCTATACTTGGTTCTAGGTAATTAGATTTTCTAGAATAATCCAGTCCTGGGAAATACATGGAAATAATTTCTTTTTTTTCTTTATTTTTAATATATATATATATTTATTTATTTATTTAGTTTTAGGTAGACACAACATCTTTATTTTTTTATTACTATTATTTTTTTTTAATATGGTGCTGAGAATTGAACCCAGTGCCTCATGCTTGCTATGCGAGCGCGATACCTCTTGAGCCATATCCCCAGTCCCTCATGGAAAAAATTCTTGAAAGTTATATCAAGTAGATACTTCTTAAACTTGTATGTGCATTTGAATTACTAAGGAAATTGTTTGTTTGTAGTGCTGAGGATCAAATCCAGGGCCTTGCTTATGCTAGACAAGTACCCTGCCACTGAGCTAACTACATATCCAGCCCCTTAAGGAAAATTTTTAGAAGTACAGGTTCCTAAGCCTACTGAATTACAATCTCAGGAACTTGCGGTTCTATATTTTTAAAAAGCTTCCTGCGTAGTAATGGCTAGTTAAACCAGTACCATATTGAAGAAGGCATTTGAAAGTTATTGAAATAGAGAACCAATTATAGGAATACACATTTGATTAATGCATTTATTGAATATACAACATTTTCCTTTTTTAATATTTATTTTTTAGCTGTAGATGGACACAATACCTTTATTTTACTTATTTATTTTTATCTTTGTCCATTTTATTTCAGAGACTTAAGACTCATAGTGTCCTTTGAAGATTTTCTACATTTGTAATTAGAAACATAGATACCATTATTAGAATGTATATATTTTTTCCATTTTTACCTATAGCCTGGAGATCTTTGGCCTCGTATTTCAAAGAGGAAAAAGATCTTTAAAAAATCCTGTACAAAATAGAAAATGCCATGATTTTCTTCCTCATTAGAGTCATTTGAAACTCTACTTTCAGGAGGAATTGTTTTCATATCTTATTTGCTGATTAGATAATTGTGTACTTTTGTCAGACCCGAGAGTGTGTGGAGCAGTTACATCTGGAAGACCGGGTTCTCTGCCTCCATAGTAGATGGCGAATTCTTTATGCTGGACTAGCAAATGGTACTGTGGTGACCTTCAACATAAAGGTTAGTAGTTGGGGGAAGAAAATGGTGTTTTCTCTTGCCATTTGAAAATAGAATGAGTGTGTACAGGAAGAAGTAATGGGCAGGGATTTCCATTTTCTGTTGGGGAAATAGCAGAACTAGCCATTACTTAAAAACTGTTGTCTTCTGATGTAAATGAAATAAGATCCTCTCTTCTGTCTGTTTAGACTCAAAGGTGCCAGGACCAAAATATAACTGCTAAGTTAAACCATGTCTGAAGATTTGGGGCCAAATAATGAGTCACAGGTTAAACCAGTCTATTTCATTTTAAGAATGATACCATAAGAAATGAATCTGAACTCCTTCACATATGACATTGGTGTGATTTGGAACTGATGTAGGGTTTCATGAGGATGACCTTTTCATTAAAGTGAACTCATCAGAGTTTTGCCTTAATGCCCATGCGGCCTTATTATTTACTAACCCAGAGATAAACTCATTTGTTGAGCAAGCCTTTATTGAATATCTGGTATTTGCTAGGCTCTCAGTAAGGTTTATGGAATTCTTAAGGGCATCTGTGTTTTGCTAAGGTTGTTGGACTTCATTTTGTTGGCTTTAAAATGTGAGAAACAAGATCCAATTTATATTTAAAAAAGTCACTGGGGAGTTGATGAGATTGGGAAGGACTGGTATTAGTAGAAGCAAGGAGATCATTTAGGAGACTTTATAATGGAAGTTGACTTGAAAGGTTAGACTAAGGGTTAAGAGAAGGAAGTGGATGAAAGATGTAGTCTATAAGATGGAATTTGTTAGTCTTACAACTAAGGTTGCTTTTATTTTATATAATGGTGACTTATTTTTCAGAATAATAAACAGCTTGAAATCTTTGAATGCCATGGCCCTCGGGCAGTCAGCTGTCTTGCCACAGCTCAAGAAGGCGCCCGAAAGTTGCTGGTTGTGGGATCTTATGACTGTACAATCAGTGTACGTGATGCACGGAATGGACTGCTCCTCAGAACTCTGGAGGGCCATAGCAAGACCATTCTTTGCATGAAGGCAAGTATAGTATAAAAGACAAGATTTGTCTGGCACAAATAGTTTCAAATTTTCTCTGTTATCTAATACATTTAGAATACAGCTACTTTGAAAAGAGCAAGGAAGTAACCCTTTTCTTTATGCCTGGTTCACCAAATGAAATGCTCATTTTTAATATATTAACTGAGAGACAATAAGAGTATTTGGGCTGGGGTTATAGCTCAGTGGCAGAGCACTTGCCTTGCACATAGAGGCACTGGGTTCAATCTTCAACACTAAGAAAAATAAGTAAACAAAATAAAGATATTGTGTCCATGTATAACTAAAAACTATTTAAAAAGAAATTAAGAGTATTTTGCCAGGCACAGTGGTGCATGCCTGTAATTCCAGCAGCTCGGGAGGCTGAGACAGGAGGATTGCAGGTTCAAAGCCAACCTCAGCAACTTAGCAATTCAGTGAGACCCTGTCCCTAAATAAAATACAAAATAGAACTGGGGATGTGGCTCAGTGGTTCAGTGCCCCTGAGTTCAATCCCGAGTACTGTCCCCCACAAAAAAATAAAAGTATTTTATTGTAGAAGGTGGCTATACTATAAGAGCTTCTTAATCAGTCCAGAGAGCTAATAAACTTGGCAGTTCTTGTCAGTTCGTCAGTTCATAGTGATTTATAGTGATGGAGCAAAAGTTTCAGTTGAGAAAATTTGTCTTGGAATCATTATTTTTTATTTTTTTATTCTTAAGCTTTAGGTGGACACAGTATCTTTATTTTACATTTATGTGGCACTGAGGATCGAATCTAGTGTCTTGTGCATGCTAGGCGAGCACTCTACTACTGAGCCACAACCCCAATCATTGGAATCATTATTTTATACCTGGTTCGTGCTCAGCTCAAAGTAGAATAGAAATTAGATCTACCAGTGTAATAAATTAACAGAGGAAACTGAGAACTTTGTACAGAATCTAACTCATTGAGGTTTTTTCTCTTTAAGGTGGTGAATGATCTTGTGTTCAGTGGCTCCAGTGATCAGTCAGTTCATGCTCACAACATTCATGTAAGCCAAGTTGATGTAGTCTAAGGAAATCTTTCATAAAATGGTGGTTAAAGCTTGAAGTTTCCTCAGCCCTCTTGCAATTTAAATTAAGTCCTTTATTCAGTGAAAAAATTAATAGTAATTCTTATGTATATGCTCTTGGATAATATTGAGCAATCCAGAAATCCTGACTTTGTCAAAATTTTTAGTAGGAGACAGACTCAAGGTTTTGTTTGAATGCCTCATTTAAGCAAATTAAATGGAGCACCTGAGGCTCTTAGAAAGTGGATGTGTTATATAGTTTAAAATAGAACAAATTAAAACCGCTGAAAGACTGTACTTACGGCGTAAAGGCAGCTCTGAAGCTGCCTTTAATTTTTAAAAAATTGATTTTACTATTTCTTATTATCAATTCCTCTTTTGAGGAGTGGGACTTAATAAGAAGACTGTCATGAGGTTGTGTTAGAATACTACTGGTTCTTCTAGTTAGTACTTTAGATGCAATTTTAAGCCTCCCAAAGGCCTACAGGGACTGTTTATTAAGCACAAGGTAAGTTCTTGGTCTATAAACTGGGGCATAATCCTACTTGATGGATTTGTCCAGATTCAGTGAAATTATGAAAGTAAAAGTACAGGCAGAATATCCCTTATCTGAAATGCTTGGGTCCAGAAGTATTGCAAATTTTTTTTCAGATTTTGGAATATTTCCATAAGATATTTTGGGACTGGACCCAAGTCTATACATGGAATTTATTTATATTTCATATGTGAATAGCCTGAAGGTAATTTTATTGTTTTGTTTTTGACTGATCTGTCACAGGAGGTCAGATATGGAATTTTTCACTTGCAGTGTCATGTCTGCACTCAGAAATTTTGGGATTTCATATTTTTGGATTAGAGATGTTCAACTTGTACTTCAAAAGCTGTAGATAGAATTGTGGCCCTTCCCTTTCTATAACATTAGGTTCTATCAGGATACATTGCATGTATTTTATATAGGTAACAAATGCCTGTGGAAGCACTTCAGCTTTTAAAATTAGAACAGATGCATGGGTTTACAGATAACCTCAGAATTATGCCTCTTAGAATTATAGAATCATTAATCTCAAAAGTAGAAAGGAATCTTAAAAATCAGTCTAGTGACTGTTATTTTTCTTCTGATGTAGACTGGTGAACTTGTACGGATCTATAAAGGTCACAATCATGCAGTGACTGTGGTGAATATCCTAGGAAAAGTGATGGTGACTGCTTGCTTGGATAAATTTGTTCGTGTCTATGAATTACAGGTAAAATTTAGATTCAGTATTTTGGCTTGAATGGTTTGGGGAGGTTGTCTTTTGGGATTAGTGTTGATTTTTGATACTGCATTTTTTTTCTTTTACAAACACTCTAAATAATTATGAAACTGGACCACACTCTGACAGACACTACTCTGAGATACTTGGTGAGAGGTGCATGGGTGTCAAAATGTAAATGGTTTCTAGAGGGCAACCTCAGTCTCTTTTTTAAGAGTTCTCTTTTAATAGTTCTCCTTGTGTGCAATTATGAGACTTTGATTTTAAAGAAATTGGTTTTACTACTTATCATCAACTCCTCTTATTAAGTAGGACTTAATAAGGAGACTGCCATTAGGTTCTGTTAGAATACTACTGGTTCTTCTAGTTAGTGCCTGAGATACAATTTTAAGCCTCCCAAGGCCTGCAGGGACTGTTTATTAAGCACAAGGTAAAAATAACCTTATTACCATGTTTTTCTTTCTAAGTCCCATGATCGACTGCAAGTTTATGGAGGACACAAAGACATGATTATGTGTATGACCATCCATAAAAGCATGGTGAGTATTATTTGCCTCATTAGAGGTTTGCCTTTGAATGTGTTTATGTGACATTCTACATACTGATAATATGTTACTACTTGTCACTTCCCAAAGTGACATCTGTTTCTGTATGCCTCATTATTGAATGTATGTTTATCTCTTGGCATAATAATAGTGAGAAATAACACAGCAACATTGTTGAATATTCATTTTTGTTTATAGTGAAAATAATTACAGTAAAAATCTAAGACCATCCTTCACTAGAAGATATATTTAAGATGCTTTTAAAAATTGAGTGGTGCTTTTTCCAAAGACATTATGATCTGAACAGAACTCTGAAGTGGAGTCAGGAGATTTGGCCAGTGTGACATAGTTATAGCAGACCTAAAAGTAGAAGCTAATAGGGCTGGGGTTGTGGCTTAGCGGTAGAATGCTCACCTAGCACGTGCGAGGCCCTGGGTTCTAGCCTCAGCACCACACAAAAATAAATAAATAGAATAAAGATATTATATCCAACCACAAATATATATATATATATATATATATTTTTTTTTTTTTTTTTAAGTGGAAGCTAATTCTCTTAACCCTGCTAAACCTTCATATATTTTATTTTGGTCTAAATTGTGGGGTTGAGCCAGTATGGATATTTTTCAAACTCAAAGAGTTTTGAAAGAGTATTGAACCCTTTCCTGCAATGAATTGAAAGAGTATTTTTCAAAGAGTATTGAACCCTTTCCTGCAATGAAATGCAGATGCCTAATAAGCAACACCAGTTAGAAGCCAGAGATACCTGGGTTGAAGAATAAGTAGGTGTTGCCAGGTGTGGTACTGCATGCCTGTAATCCCAGCAGCTCAGAAGGCTAAGGCAGGAGGATTGTGAGTTCACAGCCAGCCTCAGCAATTTAGTGAACCCTAAGCAACTCAGCAAGACCCTGTCTCTAAATAAAATATTAAAAAGGACTGGGAATGTGGCTCAGTGGTTAACCACCCCTGGGTTCAAAAAAAAAAAGGTAAATGCCCCCTGAGTCTTGCCAGGCTTGCTCTCAGCCACAGTCCCAAGAGTGGCTCCCATTCTAGTACTCTGGAACTTATTTTGCTTTAGGTTTGTATTTTCTTTTAACTCTTTTTTTTTTTTTTTAAGAGAGAGAGAAAGAAATTTTTTTAATATTTATTTTTTAGTTTTCGGTGGACACAACATCTTTGTATGTGGTGCTGAGGATTGAACCCGGGCTGCACGCATGCCAGGCGAGCGCGCTACCACTTGAGCCACATCCCTAGCCCCAATTTTTTTTTTTTTTTAATTAGGTGTAGATGGACACAACACAATGTCTTTATTTTTATGTGGTGCTGAGGATCAAACCCAGGTCCTGCCCATGCTAGGCGAGCATTCTACCGCTGAGCCACAATCCCAACCCCATCTTTTAAACTCTTATTTTAAAGGTGTTTTGTAGTTGTTTCTTTGTGTATATTTTCATCCAGTGTTATAAATCTCTTTCTCTAGATTTATACTGGCTGTTATGATGGCAGTATTCAGGCTGTGAGACTAAATCTGATGCAGAATTACCGCTGTTGGGTAAGCATTGAAATTGTTCCTGTCACCGGACCTAGGAATTGCTTAACCCTAGGCTAGTTTATAGATTTTTATTATCATTAGTATAGCATTTTTGTATTTGAGCATCTACTTTTTGCCTTTTACTGTAGGACAAGGAAGCTCTTTTAAGAATCATACATAAAATGCTTATACTTCTTTAATGAAAAGTCTTTCAAGATTAGATAATATCAACTATATCAAAAGTATATGAAGTAAAAGCAGAAGTGGTTTTTTGTGGGGTTTTTTTTTTTTTTTTTTCCTTTTTGTGACCTGTCCCTCTACTACACATACTTCTTAGGGATTTTAAATGTTTAATGGCTTGGTTTATATCCTCATTGGTTTCTGAGGAATAAGTAAAAATTTGTAGTCTTAAAGTTATAAACCTCAGTTCATCAACCTAAATTTTATTTTGGTAAAGGGGCCAATGATTAGCCCTTAAAACTTATTTTACATTTGACTTTAGACTTATCCATAGCCTAATTATTTTTCAGCTTTTTTCTGTATTGCTGTCTTTTTCTATTTTGCCAGTGAAGGTAAGCAAAATCTAGTACAATAAGATCCAGAGGTGGTGGTGCACACATGTAATTCCAGCAGATCGGGTGGCTAAGGCAGAAGGACACAAGTTAAATGCCGGCTTTAGCAACTTAGTTAATCTCAGAATAAAAAATAAATAAGACCTGGGGATGTACTTCAGTGGTTAAGCATCCTAGGTTTAATTCCTTGTATAAAAAAATATATTTAGGGGCTGGGATTGTAGCTCAGTGGTAGAGCGCTCGCCTAGCACATGTGAGGCCCTGGGTTTGATCCTCAGCACCACATAAAAATAAATAAATAAAATAAAGGCATTGTGTCCAACTACACCTAAAAAATAAATACTTTAAAAAACATATATATGTGTGTGTGTCTATGTATATATATGTGTGTGTCTATGTATATATATATATGTATATGTACGTGTGTGTGTGTGTGTGTGTGTGT